ATTGTATTATGGGTTCGTCATAAATTAAAATGATTGAAGAGACGCTGGCAGTTTTGTGAAAAGCCCGCAGCATGGGTTAGCATGCATGAATGATTGTAAAAACCAACAGGTGAATACGACTTTTGTGTGCAAGGCTTTTGAAACCATAGGCTACATATGTTTAACAATGCCAGAACTGTAAAGTTCTTTCCAATCAATACAAAAGTCAAGCATGCAATCAACACCCCTACTTTATAACCAATTTTATAAATTATACATGAACAGTATATCTGGCTGCTTATCAATTACCCAGCATCTCAGGTGCACCCGCAGATCTAAAGAATTTTAAAGAACTGCACGTTATCGTGGAATAATTAATAGTGGACATGCGTGATCCATTAATCACAAGACAGATTGGTTTCGTTCATACATCATATTCAGTACATTTATTTAGTAAAGATACAAAAACATGGACGATATAATCTGGCTTGAAAACATCAGAGAGGCTGTTAAAGCTAGTAAACGGGAGTTTGACGTTGAACATATTATTGGTAGAGGCACCTTTGCTAAGGTCGTCAAGGCCAAGTGTACAAAGGAAGGCGTTAATGAAGGCAAACAATTTGCAATAAAAATCTTGACTTATGATGTAAACAATAGAGATCATTTGGAATATCAGTATCGAGAAATAGAATCCTTGTATCGGCTGAATAACTCAAATGTTATCAAATATTTCGATAGCTGGGTAATGCAAGCTGGTGACAAACGAAAACTGTGCATTCAAATGGAGTTGTGTTCGGCAAACCTAAAAACATTCGTGAACAATCCACGCGGCACTTAGTTTATCCAATCTCCAAGGTGGCCACGATTTTACCAGCAGATAGTTAAACAAATTTTGAACGGCCTGGTTGCCATCCACAAAATGAAATGGATACATCGCGATATTCATCCCCGGTAATATCTTCGTCGTAAATCAAAATCCACAACAAATCAGGGATATCCATGTCAAGATCGGGGATTTGGGGCTTGCTAGGCCAAAGGATAGGATAAAAATTAAGATCTCACCTGGATGGACAGTAAAGCCTGAAGAGATGCTGATGTCTTTCTCTCACGACGGTACATACACGGCGCCGGAGCTCAAGGAGAAAGAATACGATCTCAAAGTAGACGTTTACAGTGTCGGAGTTGTGTTGTATTTCATTAGCCGTTACCCCGTCCTAGAGAGTTCAGAATTGAAGCAGGAGATTAAGGCAATAAGACGAGGCGAACATGACATAAATCAACACATATATCACAAAGACGATAAAAAGTTGGTGAACCTAATACGAAATTTGCTTCAAGAGAATCCGAGAGCACGCTTCACTGCGGAGGAGGCTATATGCACTATGTTTCCTACTTTCCCACAGAAGCAGATAATTCGACTGATGTAGACGCTGACGAATCCATGCCTACACCACAGAACACATATTCAATTGATAATAACGAATCCGTGCCTATTTCACAGGAGAAATATTCAGCTGATTCTAGCGAGGCATTGAAGACCGAATTCATAGCAAGAAAAGAAAACGAAAAGGTTGTCAGTCAGTGCTTATTAAACGAGTTCACATTGTCCGCAATGAAAGCAGAGGTTGAACGTCGCACTCGCGTGAAAGCAGACAGACAAGTTCTTCGACAAGAGCGTACGATAGATGGTAAAATGACGCATATCAAAATAGAAGAAGATGAGGACGTCGAAAACATTTTTAAGATCGCAGCAAAAAAAAAATATGTAGTCGTGGTGGTTGTGATCGAGCAATCTCCAGAAAGTGTGAAGAAACTTTCCAAGACGAAATGCACTCATATGTAACATTTTTTCACATATTTATATTCATTAAGAGGAGATTTTTTTGTATGTTACGTAACACGCACTCAAAACTAAAGCGTATAATATATCACTCGAGGTTATGACTAAATTCAAAATTTTTATTTTTCGATACGTTTCTCAATCGGCAAACAAACTTAGAAAGTATGTTTAGTGCTTTATCTGTAAAATAATGCTAAAATGAAGAGATTTTAGATGATACGCCAAAGAGAAAATGATGTCTGAAGTTCAGTAAGTTTTGCTTATATGACTGTATATGGCGTCAATTTTAAAGCATCATTGATAATTATATTTTAATTGACAATTTTTAACTATTATTTTATGTTTCTCAACCGGCAGATGCATTTAAAAAGGTAAAACAAAGTAATTTTGAAAGGAACGCCAAAAAGATTTTAGGTTTTGAACACTTTTCATTGCAAATGCGTGACATTGAAAAAAATTGCCTCTTAAATATACTAAACAATATTTACACACATTGTTGCAACTAATTTTAATAAGATAATCATGCAACCGAGAACCTGAAATCAGACTTCTTAAAAAAATGAGTCCACTCGTTAACTTCATTCCGTTTTTGTATTTGACATGGCGAGGCCATTGGAAGATAGACTATAGATAGATCGTTTATTAAGAATTATAACCTTGATTTTACAACAAAAGACTGAATTTAAAAAGGTTTTACATATAAAATTAGAAATTTTAAGATAAAATGCTAGAACTACTGTGGTCATTATACCGTCCAGCGGCTGCAATTATAAAGGAGTTTCTAAAACGGTCCGTTTTACATATATGTATGTTGAAATTTCTTTTGTTCCTTAACGGAGAAATTACGCTCAGGTTATAAGGCAGAAGCCCATGAAGTTTATCATTTGGGTTCATTACAATTTTGTTAAAAAATTCATCACAAAGATGACTACGATGATTGGAGAGTTTATGCAGTATCGACATTACCAACGCTTCAGAATACGGTACATCGTAACCATATATGGTTACGATGTAAGGATGTATAGGGTATAAGAGAATAATGGGTAAGGTGTTCTTCCATGAACGCAAATCTTTATACGAATGAATACAAATAATAGATATATATATTACTTCATGATGATGGTGCAATAAATCCAGTCACACGATATGCGCGTTTGACGCCAGCTGGCAGCAGGAAAATTTGAACAACCGAGTCGTGTTTTAAAATAATCAACCTTTGGCTAAAGTTGGCTTTACTCTACATATTTTGACATTCTATAATCTAAATTGTATTAATCGTAAAAACACACACCGTTTATACATAATGACTGGTTTTCTTGGTATTATAAATAATTGATATGTAGCATGCAGTCACCGGAAACACAGCAACAAACGCTTCGCTCCCACGCTTTGGCAAACTTGAAAAGAACTCTAGGAAATCGGTTTTATTTGAAGTAGTGTGAACACGATTTATTTTGTAAGGTATTAAGTCATGGATCATAAGATGACAGGAAATTTGGACGTCCCAACAAACATCGAAAAAGCTCTAGAGGAACGCGGGTTTCACGTCCGTAATAATAAGCTTGGGAAAGGTGCCTATGGAGAGGTATTAAAAGCAAAATGTCGAGATGATGGCAAATTATATGCCATTAAAATTCTCCTTCTTTCCAATGGGGAAAGCACGAAATATCATAAGCGAGAACTAGAGCTACTTACAAAATTGGAACTGTCGGAACGAAATGTTATCAAATATTTTAAGAGTTGGATAATGCAAGATGATGACGTACAACGACTGTGTATTCAAATGGAGTTGTGTTGGGTAAATTTAGAAAAATTTATCTATGAGAATGACATGGGTGGCGCGGAAATCATCAAATCTGAAGGTCCTCCACGGTTTTACCAACAAGTTTTCCCACAGATTTTGAATGGCTTAAGTGTTATCCACTCAATGTACTGGGTACATCGCGACATTCACCTCGGTAATATCCTCATAGTAAATCCAAATCCACAACGAATCGATGATATTCATGTAAAGATCGCTGATTTTGGACTTGCAAGGTATATTGGAATGGAATTTGAAAAGTCTGCTAGGCTGACAGTTGTCCCAACACTCGAGAAACTATCGCCAGGTGTAGGGAATGAGCTATTCAGGGCGCCAGAACTTTCAACAAACAAATACGACTTCAAGGTAGACGTTTACAGTTCTGGCATAGTGTTGTATTTACTTGACTGTTACCTCCCGAACAAGAATCAATTGAGAGACGAGATTTTGGCATTGCGAGAAGGAAAACGCAATGCTGTACATCTATATCATAAGGACGACCAAAGATTAATCAACTTGATTGAGCAGCTACTCGAGAAGGAATCGACCAGAAGACCGACGGCGGCTGAGGCTTCACAATACATGCAACGCGAGACTGACCACGGAAGCGAGACCCCTAGTGAACCAACAACAAAGAAGTTTCTCGCGGTGAAGAAACGTGGCGATGACACTTTGTATCGATGCTCTTCGAGTGATACCTTATCAGGTATGCAAGATGCAATCTAGGGACATCGTTGTATCGGCATCGAGAAAGATGCTCAGATCCTAGAGCAAGAGCAAACTATTGAGAGCGAAAAGAGATTGGTGGGAATAACGTCTGACAAAGATGTTCGTGAGATGTTCCAGAGTGCTGAGGAGCAGGGGAAAAAAGTGATCATTGTTGTGTCAGAGGAAAGCAACGACAACGTGGCGTTGTAACTTTACTGAACTTTAAATATTTTATTTTTTATTTTTATTTCTCAAGGGTATATACAAAAGGTTAATTTATTTAAATTTGCAACGTTTCGGACATTTTAAATGTCCGTCTTCAGGGGACAACTGTTGTTAACAACAGGTTAACAACAGGTTAACAACAGTTGTCGCCTGAAGACGTACATTTAAAATGTCCGAAACGTTGCAAATTTAAATAAATTAACCTTTTGTATATATCCTTGAGAAATAAAAAATAAATTATGAACCACAAAGGTGAAAGTTTTAGAAACAAGTTTAAATATTTTACTGTAACTTTATAACTATTGCTTTAATGTTGCTAAGGATTATATTAGTGAACCTAATTTAATTCACACCCTGTATAAATAATATATATAATATTATCTGATTATATTTTATATATTTTATTTATATATATTTTGTTTCCACAAACAAAACTATTATATATAATATATATATATATAATATATATATATAATATAATATAATATATATATATATATATATATATATATATATATATATATATATATATATATATATATATATATATATATATATACATATATATCACGTATATATATATACGTGATATATATATATACGTGATATATATATATATATACGTGATATATATTTATAATATAGCATTTGTAAATTCTGAACGCTGATTGGCTAAGAGCCGTGTTGATATAACTCCATGTCAACACGGGAAATTTTCCGCCGCTTGTAACACGGAAATTGTTCTTATTCTTCGAGCTTTTGACATTGCTATATTATAAAACAAATATAAAACATTTTTTCCGTATTGATATATAGTTATATCAACAC